GGCAATGATATCCTTGCACTGCGGCGACTAAAAGTTGCAGTGGCGAGACCACTGTTTTTTGGAAATTACGATGTCCAAACATATAAGCAGTACACACCAGTCACTGCACGCCCTTCTAAGTTCAATGTATATCAGGATATCAAATCGCCATAAAGAGCAAGCATGTCCTGCGCTTCTAACCCACACAAATGTTCAAAGTCCTTTGAAGCCACAATTGAGCCGTGCCCAACTAACTCCCCATGAAGCTGCCGGGCCACAGGGCAGGCCCACTTGGATATGATCTGGACCTTGGCAAGTGGTGGTATGCATCTGCCAATAATCACATCAGCCGAGAAGAGAGGAAGCTAAACTCATGTCAAGTTCAGAATGATTCGAATGGAAGTCGCCAGCCAGCGTCACATCAAAAGAATCTGTTCAATTCTTCCTGCTTCATCCTCCTTCTGGATGTTGGGAGATTGAGGGTAACAAGAAGACCCTGACACAATAGTGTTGGAGCAAAGCTGGGCTTCCAGGCAAAGCGGATGTACATGCGAGCTGAAGCAACCTTTGATCGGTCCTGATCGGAGCGCGTAACGAAAAATTATATAAGATCACTTCGCGTGGCCACGAAGCAACTTAGTCGCAGAACCTGCAAATGTTCCTTCTAATATCTTCCAATAACATGTCTTTCTAATGTTGGAAGTTGAAGAGAGAATGAGGGCGATGATCAAAGGCGGGACTCGAAGCGGGTAGCTGCAAAAAGGACCTTCCAAAACAGGGACGAAGTCCACAACACCTCCGTCCTGGGCGCCCAAACCAACTGCGACCAACTGCGACAAACGCGCCAAGTGGCTTCACTACATCGCCAAATCTCCCCCAGGATCAGCAAGATCATCTTCAACGAGGGCACGACAATGGCAAAAATTGCCACCATCACCTTGGCAAATGCGGCAACCCTTCAAGAACACACAACTTAGTGGAATGAACAGATTCTTCAAGATCTTCTCTCTTCCTGGGTGCGCAATGCGTGTCGACCTAAAAGCGATCGTTAATCCTCGTATTCCGACTAGTGGTGCTTGAATCTTTCTAATCTGCGATCCTCCCAAATTGTAACAACGATCTGAAATCTTAACTACTGGGTGAATGGTGATGTGATGTGATGTGATGTGTGTAAAGCAACGCCACAGCGGCTCCAGCATCTTCAAAAACTTAATACACGATAATACACCCTCTTCTGTTCCGGGTCACAAGCAGCAACAGCAGCACCAGCAACAGCAAGAAGAAAAGGGAGCTGCTTCGAGGCGGGAAAACCTCTTGGAGGGAGTGTGGAGGGGTTGGAATTGCGCTCTCATGTAGGGGATCAGAAAACCTAGGCATTTCCGTAATAAATCAACAAGATGCAGGAGGAAGAAGAAGAAGAAGCGTGGAAACGAAGAAGCGAAGCAGCGAGATTAAAAAAATAAGAAAAAGAAAAGGACACAAACAAATCCGGCGTTTTTCTTCTCATGTTTTTGTGTGGAGTCAACAAACGCGATATGTTGAACAAATACAGCATTTGTCATGTGGAATCAAAAAAATATGTTCAACAAACAGACGCCTCTTTTGGTGCCTTCCAAGTGGGTGAGTCAAATCTAGCGCTTTATGGGCGAAGTTGTGAATTTTCGAGGTCCAACTGCCACATGTGGACCAAGACTTGCCAACCAGTTCTGTCGTGGGAGGCCTCCCAATTCGACACCCTGGAAAAAGGATATAAACGAAAACGTGTTGGTTGGGGTCCCTCTATTAAAATGCACACCAGGAGTGGGGAACGCAAGGGGAACCCAAGTGGTGCGTCCGAGTCAACAAAACACTAGCATCACGCTGACTCTGCGAGGGTTTCTAGGCTCTAGTCCGCTAGGCATAAATTCGAGTAATCCGCAATCGGTGTAATCCGCAATCCGTGCAGAGGTTCTTGGATAAATACATAAAAACAAAGCTACCAACAGACTGGTAAAGTCCAGGTTAGTGGGAATTCATGAAAAATCCATGGCGGTTGCCAAGTGGCTGCTCCATACCAGGAACCCGTGTCCCAAAGAAGATGGATAAATTCCACCGTGCTGTCGGATGCCTCTTCCAAGACCTGCCAAAACAAGAAGAAATGGTGCTGAGCCAAGCTGACCAGGATGCGCTGTGCTGCCCTGCCGTGCTGAGCTTTGGACAACAGCATCGACTGCCCCAATCTTCATGTTGAATAGTGTGGCCTCAGCGTGCGTCCAAAACGATCCAAAAGGAATGTGGAGATCCACTTAAATATATAAACTGATGAACCCAAGAACCCGAAAAAAACACACGTATGTTTAACACTCTCGAGTGGCGTTCTCCAAAGATGGACAATCTGGGGTGACAGTCTTCTCTCATCTCTTACATGACGGTGTGCACCCTTCTGGGACACTCTTTTTGCAGAACACTCTTGTGAATCACTCTTGTGGGACACTCTTGTGATTAGGGCGCTCTAGGGCACGCCGCGTTTACACACGCATGTAGCATCATGTAGCCACGCCAGCACGCTTTCCACCAGAACTCCGCCAAACCGCACCGCACAGCGACATCAGAAACTAGATGCAACCGTGTGACATGACACCACCCAATTGACCCGCTAACCAGCAACATGCCACGTGAACACACGCGTGTTTCCCTTCCCCCAATGGGACGGAGCCACAAAAGCGCACGTTCCATCAAGCCCACGCCAAACTGCGTGGCACAGCGATTTCAGACACGTCATTTCGCCTCATCAATACCCCAGATCTCCCAGAACCTGCTCCCAGCTCCCCATTTTGGAGCCCTCAGAAGCTACAAGTATAGTTCCAGCACTATATACATGTGTACTAGAAAGTTGCCACTTCTTGCCCTGAAGCTCAAGCGAGCATTGCATACGAGACCTGCTCCAAAAGTCACGCGTCCAGACTCCAAAACGACCGCTTCGCAAGCACTTCAAAGCCACAGCAGCTGACACCCACCAACCCCAATGGCAAAGCGACATTCACCTCCACCAAATCTCGCAACCTGACGATTCCCGGCGCACGCGACGGAAGTTCAACTTCCACACCTCAAAACCCGCACCAAGTACTGCAGCTGCCCCGAAAAGTGACGACGCGAGCTCTTCACATCTTCAGATGTCGAGACAGCACACTTTGCACCACAAAACCCGCACGGCTTGGAATGATTTCGAGACGCACAGCTTCACAGCAACAATGGGCTTCACAGCTTCTAAGCGAGACGATCCCAATTTCACGGCAACATCCAACACCTCCCTGCACCCCTGGCACACGCCAATCCCAATGGCACGTACGCTCATGAAACGTGGCACGTTTGCGCAGGAAATCAACCTTCACACTTGAGCATGTCATGTTTGCGCGCTATTTCACACGAATCGGACACTTCTCCCTCCATCCAAGAACTCTTCCAAAATCTTCCGCCAATGGCAGGAGGGGTCGGCCAGCAGCACCCCGACGACGAGACCCCCACCAAAACAGACGAGGCGAACACAGGTCCAACCCCCAGACCTTTAAAGGTCGAACCCTTCGCAACGCATTCGGGAGAAAAAGGCTACGGTCCATAGTGCATGCACTGCTATGAGGATTGATCGCTGGTAGTCCGTCAAATACAAGAGGTCACCTGGTCCGTCACCTGGTCTGACCTTCTTGGCGTCTTTTCATGCTGCATGTGTGGCAACACCGAGTAGCGAAAAGAGCTGGGAAAAGCAAAAGATAGCTGCAAATCAGCAAGGAGATCACCCATGCAGCAGGATGGCCTCAGTCCACTCTCTCACAGTGTTTTTTTAGCAAAGCTGCAGTCAAGTCATCATAAAGCCAGGTCATATATCTTTTGAAGATTCTGTTGAATGCAGAGTACATACTCTTGCTGCGTCTGAGCATGTTAGGTGTGACTCCAAGAACGCACAACTCAAAAAAGTCCGCGGGATGTCTCTCTCAACACATCAGACTGTCCCAGCCCATGCGATCTCAGCCAAGACGCGTCGCTTCAGTTCCTGAGCAAAGTCGAGAAATGCGGCCAAACTGCTTTTGTGCCACGTGCCATTTCATTTGTGCTCCAGCCACAAATGCTTACGGGAGTTACTGTAGGTGCTGTAGGTGGGGCAACTGATCCTCATTTACCCAACTTTCTTTCAGCAGAGCTGCATCTCTTGAGAGAAAAGCTAGTTAGATATATAGATGAATAAACCCTTCGGGATATGCAGAAAAGTAATTGCGCGACAAAATGCCAGTGGAGCTGTCCATGGGAATCAATCAAGATGTCCACCTCTTCAAGCCAATCCGAGCCACCTCATGCTTCCTCCTGTGGTCGTAGCAAGCTGCCGCTGCCACAACCACCAGCAAACTGATGAGCAAGACTACCTGATCGTTCGCAGCGACTCACAGAACGCACAAAATATATCAACATATATCAACATATCATCTTTGACTGCAGACAAGCAGCTGCAACACAGTTTACAATCTCCTGCCAGCAGGTGAGTGTTGAAAAATGTTGAAAGTATTGTCGGAAGAGGGTCCCTCTGCACCTCGTCAGTTCAACCAAGACAGGCGAGGAAGGAAGGCCGGTCCAGGTCTGTGACTTGCCCAGAAAGAGACCAGCTGAAGATGCGTCTGCGTTCATCATTCGATTGACCATGGCTCGACTAGCTGCTAGCTTCATCTTAAAGACAGCCTTTCTTAACCTTTGTCCCCCTCACACCGAGCGATTCACCGTGATCTCGTCTCCTGTGGAGTTCCGTCCAACGTTAGTGCCATGGCTTTGTGGCGAAATCGGCAGAGGAGCCTCTCGTCTTGACTGAGCAGAAAGCAACGAAAGGCAACCTTCCCATTGTGGAAATCTGGTTTCCCAAATTGAACCACATGCAACAAAAGGCAAACCTGGGAGTTAGAAATCTCTCACTTGAAAGAAGCCAGCAGCATGTCTCAAACACTCCAACAGAATAAGACCCATGTCCCATCAGCTCCTCACAGCTCCTCTCAGCTCCTCACAGCGGTGGGTTCACAGGTGCCGTCGCGGACGTCGAGGGACCGTCGCCTGGCGTCGGTGCAGGGATGGAAAATCCAAATGAATCTACAATGTCCGTCAACCGACTCTATTCATCGCTATTCAATGCTATTCGTCACCCCATGTCACCCCAAAGATCCAACCAAAACCTGTGGATCCCCTTTGCTTCCACCACCTTCGCAAGACGAACACAGGGATTTCAGGAGGCAGAAACTGAAATGTTCATGGACTCCATGCATTCCATGGTTTTCGCAGGACACAGAAGCTCAAAAGTATTGGGGAAAAAGAAACACGGATGCCTTGTTGTTCATGTTTTTGGAATGTTTTTGGCATGTTGGATGGATTGTCCATAACAGATTGACTTCTTGATGTTGGGTTTTCGCATCTGTTTCCTCCAACACCCTTCCCAGCTTCAGCCTCTCTCGGGGGCGTGCCGCTTCGGCCCCTCTCGCCGCGTGCTCTCCCAGTCCTTGCGCCTCGAGCGTGGCGCAGAGTGTGGCGTTTGTGTGCAGGGCACTTTGTGTGTGTGTGTAACCCTTGGAATCACAGGGGCCTTTTAGGATTGTTTTTTGAAGCTCTTTCAAGTTGCAGGGGGCACCCGGTGTGCTGATGAGACCGGTGCTAACAAAGACGCTCATCAGTCACGTGTGATACAATTGGAGACGTCCAACTGCGTACCTGCATTTGCACTTTGAGAGCCTAAGTATAGCAAAAGCTGTCCAATACGTTGTTTCTGCATTCCGTCTTGCTGCAGTACAGGGCTAGCGCTTCGGCGATTCACCTTGGAACTTTCGTGAGCTTGGGACATGAACTTGTTTTTGGAGTCTTTGGAGGTTTCTTGGAATTACCGTTTTTCACTTACCTGGCCTCTTCGGCTTTTCACTTGGGCGTGTGGCATGCCGCAACCAAATCAGTACGCATTTCTAAAAATGTGTCTCTCCTCGTGAGAGCCCAGGGTGACCCCGCCGACTAGCCCCTGTGGACCCGTCGAACGGGGGTTTGTCGAACGTATCCCCTGCCCGGGTAGGAGGCTTATGCCCAAGTCACTTGCCAGCATTTGCTGAATTATTGAACTCCAAGCTGGCCGCCATTTTGGCATGCCTTTAGGTGACCACAGCGGTCTCAAGTCACCCGCCATTTTGGCATGGCACAAGGTGACCAGAGCGGTCAAAGCATTTTTAGGGTCCCCATTGGGCCCGTCGGCCCGTCGCCACCTCAGGTGCACACACAGCACGCACATGTTCAACTAGGTTTGCCTAAGTTTTCTAATTAGGTTTGGGTTTCATTGGTTTTAGCTTTCGTCCCCTCCATTTGGTTTCCCTTTTCATCCTTTCCCCTTCGCACACTCTTGCTTTTCTGTTTTCTTTCATGTCCTCCTGTCTTCATGGTTTGTCATCTCATCCTTTCTTTCGCTTGCGCAAATATCGGCCCTGTCCTTAGTGTGTACGCGCACATCTACATATACTTCATATCCAGGTTTCAGGTCGCCCAGGTCTTGACAAGGAGGTGGGGTTCATCGGTTGTCCCTGTGCACTTGGTTTCTTTTTCATTGCAACCACACACACACACTTCGAACTTGGATTGTCAGTTAACGCAATTTCCCAAGGAAA